ACATACTGTTGAATTAAAATTGACTGTATATAGTTATAAAACATACATATTAGATCCTGTCCACAGAGCCTAATGTGTCTTTTGACTGATCTTTACAGAAAAACCTTGTCAGAATCCAGTAAATAATAGGATTTGGCACATTTCTTGTAAACACATTCAAAACATAAGATCAATATTGAAACATAAATACAAGTAAACTTATTTTAATTTTTAATTAATGAAAACATTGTCTTCCATTTTTATCTTAATTCTCAATCCTGTGGAAATACCAAATCTCAAAATCTAGGTAATAAATAACTGAGACTGATTCAAGCAGCATTCTCAGAAAAATATAGTTCATCATTCAGAATTTAAGAATTCTTAATATATGCCTTGGCATTTCAAACTAAATACAGCCAAGAAGAGACTATCTCTCAGTAGGTAAGGAAGTGACAGGTGTGTTCTACAGATCTGGGACTGAATTTTGGCTGTTTTCTTCCCTGATCATGGGAGATGGATTCTTTTCCACAGTGGAAATATGGTCTATGAGAGTTAGCCAGAACTTTAGAAATATTCAGTAAGTGTAGGCACATGCTTTTGACAATATAGTGCCTTATTGTGTAAATTACAGAAATAATTTAGTTTCTTAAGGTGCAAACATAATTTTCGGTTAAGGAACTTTCTCAAACTTAGTTTCAGAATGTCAATAGTGACAGGAGACCTGCACAGACTTCTCCTTTTTTTTTTTGGCATTCTCATTATTAGAGAGATTGCATTGTAGGCATGTGGTTCATATTCAATTTGACAAGTCATGTAGCGATTAAAAATTGGAATGCTTTGACAGCAGGGTGAGCATGAGGATCAGTTGCCAGTGTAACTCCTCATGACAGAGAGAGCCTGGCAAATGACTAGGATCTGGTCAGGGGGGAGTCTTCAGCATCAGTGCACAAGGCAGAGAGGACTGACGAGTCTCACCAAGACAGCACCCAGGGATGGCAGATGCACTGACCAGTTTCACGTCTTGCCAACACTCCCCTTGTGCTGTTTTCCTGTAGCAACAAAACGGAAACTGAGTTTTTGCAGCCTTAGGGTGCAGATTTTAGGACTGGTTCTGGAAGTCAAACAGAGTCCTGAAATACAGCTTCACATGTACACACACACACATGTGCACACACACACAAAGAGAAACATAGACACATATATACACACATATATACATATGTACAAACATATTTACAGATACACGCACACACACTGTCTTGCAAAAGGGTATTATGCTTTTACAACTATAATATCTCTGAGCAAAATTTAAGAGAAGGTCCATAGAAGGTTAATTCCTGTTCATTTTTATTCAACATCATTCATTAAGATTATTATTATTTCAGTTTTCTGGGTTGAAATTTATTTTTACTTTCATTTAATGTGTATCTATGTTAATTACATAATGTCATGTTGCTGGTCTGGATTGACTTTCATGTTCATTGTAAAGTATCTTGTTGAAAACTTCAGGTTGAAAATTAATGCTATTTATAAGGGAAATAAACTGTTCCATTAATTGTTTGTGTGCATGCGTTTGTAATTAAATTGGTCTCTAGTTAGCACTGAAATTTTTTTTCAACAGGTCTACTAATTCCTAAGAGTGATTGAATCCATGAAGTGTAAACCAAATAAACCAAAGAAGAAAGTTCAGAGAAGGAAACATATGAAGAAAATGAAATGAATATTATTTGCAATATTAGAATCCATATCATAAATAAAACAAATTTTATTGACTTGTTTTTTAACTGTATGCACTGTGAAAAACACTGTCAAATTTATAACCTACAACTTCTTAAATATTTTAGGCTTGGTATAAAATATTTTCAAGTTATGTCTCACTGAGATAGCATTACAAATAAATGCTGCTTAAACTAAATGGAAAATTTCACAAATAAAAATTTTTATTACTTGTTTTATAAATTTGCAGAATAGTAAACCGGCACCTGAGCAACTGTCAATGGTAACTAATTTTGTGTGTGTGTGTGTGTGTGTTTGCACGCGCATGTGTGTGTATGTGTGTTTTAGGAATTATTATGAGCTCATAGATATATTTTTCCAGCTTTTATGTTCAGGGGTATATGTGCAGGATGTGCAGGTATGTTACATAAGTAAAATGTGTACCATGGTGGTTTGCTGCATAGATCATCCCATCACCCAGTTATTAAGCCCGGCATTCATCAGCTATTTCTCCTGAGCTTCTCCCTCCTCTCACTGCTGCCCTCCAACAGGCCCCAGTGTGTTTTGTACCCCACCATGTGTCCATATGTTCTCAGCATTTAGCTCCCACTTATTAGCGAGACAATAAGGTATTTGGTTTTCTGTTCCTGCATTGGTTTGCTAAGAATAAGGGCCTCCAACTCCATCTGTGTTCCTGCAAAGAACATGATCTCATTCCTTTTTGTGGATGCATAGTATTTCATGGTGTATATGTACCACATTTTATTTATTGAGTCTATCATTGATGGGCATGTAGGTTGGCTCCATGTATTTGCTATTGTGAAGAATGCTACAATGAACATAAGCATGCATGTGTCTTTACAATGGAACAATTTGTATTTTGGGGGTATGTATCAAAAATTGGGATTGCTGGGCCAAGTGGCATTCCTGCCTGTATGTCTTTGAGGAATTGCCACACTGTTTTCCACAATGGTTGAACTAATTTACACTCCCACCAACAGTGTAGAAGTGTTTCTTTTTCTTCACAATCTCACCAGCATCTGTTGTTTTCTGACTTAATAATCATTCTGACTGGTACGGGAAATACATTTTTAAAAGTACACAGTTCAATGGATCCCAGTGTATTTACAGAGTTGTTCAACTATTATAATCTAACTCTAGAACAGTTTCAAAATTTTGGAAAGAAACCTTTACTCATTAGCAATCATTCCCCATCTCCCTCTCCCTACCCTCAGTCTAAGCCATGAGTAAATAACTTTCTGTCTCTATAGATTTGCCTATTCTGGACATTTCATATAAATGATATTATGCAATAGATTGTCTTTTGCAACTTGCTTCTTTTACTTAGCATAATGTTCTTGAGGCTTATCTATATTGTAGCATGTATTAGTAATTCTTTCCTTTTTATTGATAAATAATATTCTATTATATGAATATATCATATTTTTTTCATTCACTCATCTGTTAATTGCCAATTTGACTCTACTTTTTGGCTATTATAAATAATGCTACTGTCAGCATCCATGCACAAGTTATTGTGTTGACATATACTTTTATTTATTTTGGGTACATAACTAGTTGTGAAATTTCTGGGTCATATGGTAACTCTATGATTAATTTTTTGAGGATCCACCAAAGACTTTTTTCCAAAGTGGCTGCTCATTTTACATTCCCATCAGCAATGAGTTAAGTTCTCAATTTGTCCACATCCATGCTAACCATTATTATTGTCTGCCTTATTATTATAGCCACTTTACTGGGTAGAAGTGATATCGCTTTGTGCTTTTAATTTACCGTTCCAAATGACTAATGATGTTGAAGGTCATTTTAAGCACTGTTTGATTTTAGGCCAACGGGAGCACTTTCAAACTGGCTCCTTATTCTTCTGGCATATGTTTGCTTAATAACGTTTGAGGGCTTCCTTTCTTCCTGGTATAACCAGTGTTCAGTCCTTGTTTGGACATCCCTTAGCTGAGCCCCAGAATTAGTCATTTCTCCAGGTAACTTTGTACCTTGGCTTCTTTTAGTGGCAAATTATAGATAGAGACCACAACCTGGATGCTGGGAATGCTCATTGCTATGGAGTTTTTATAGCTTGTTTTCTAGTGAGAGAGCAAGGGAAAACAATACATACACACACATACACACACACACACACACACACACACACACAAGATAATTTTTAACTAATACTGTTGTTTTAAATTTAAAGTTATAGAAACTTACTTAACTTCCCCGTTTTATTTTTTTTTTCTTTTTTAAACTGAAAAAATATATATGACTTCCACTGTTATCAACAAAATTATTTTCTTTATTTTAAAATATACCTATAAGTTTAAAATATAACTGTATTCTCATCACTTTGGGAAGCTGAGGCAGGAGAATGACTTGAGAGCAGAAGTTCACGACCAGTCTGGGCAATATAGTGAGACCCCACTTCTACAAAAAATACAAAAATTAACCAGGTGTGGTGGCACAAACCTGTAGTCCTAGATACTTGGGGGGCTGAAGTGGGAGGATTGCTTGATCCTAGGATGTCAAGACTGGAGTGAGCCATGATCACTGCACTAGAGGCTGGGTGACAGAGCAAGACCCTGTCTTAAAATAAATACATACAATAATATTGCCATTAAAATTAAGAATATTGCATAAAATTTGCTTGCTTTTTGTCCTTTGAATATAATATGTCATGGATATCCAGTCAAAGTACTGTATTTCAAAGTATTTTCTCTTTCTGGTTATTCTTCCAGGTGATATAAAGTTAGGTTTACTTGTTTTAGTCATTTTTAATCTTTTAGGGAATTTTTACATTTACATTTGTATTGCAAGTATGTTAAATAGTTACACAGTTCTATGATAATGTGGACTAACAGACGTTTTACATCCATCCCTCTCCCATCCACTCTGGTTTTTTGCTTCCCCTAAAAGTAACCGTATTATTAATTTGGAGGTTATTTTTCTATTATTTATTTTTTAACATTACCAAGTAGTCCATATGAATATTCATATTTTCACCACTTTCTTAGACTAAAATTGGCATCCTTGTTTTTTTCACTTTACACAGACCCTGGATAAAACTCTGCATTAAGAGGAAAATAGATATCTTCCTCATTCATTTTGCATTTGTAAGGCTCTCAAATACACAGACACAAATTATTCTATTGATAGACATTGGAGTTGATTTCATTCTTTGGTCTAAGAGATCATACCACTATAAATAGTCTTGTCAAGGTTTTATTTTGTATTTTTGCCAGGACATCTTTAGAATAGAGACGGGATTGCTAAATACACCAGGCACAGTTTGTGCTCCCTCAGGATCTCCCTTCTTCCCACTTCTGTGCATTCCTCTCTCAGCTCTGCTCTGTGAGTCTTCCTTTCTAATGGCCTGCAGCTGTAACTGGAAGACTGCCCTAAAGATACTGGAGCAGTTCTCTCTTGCATGCTCAGATTGCTGGAAGTACCTAGGAATTTATATTCCTCCAGGGTAAGTGTAGAAAAGATGGATGGGTATCAAGATGTGAAAAGCCCAGTACCTATGCCGGAGGCACCCTTATGAAATCAGGCACAAGCTTCTTCCTGAAGACTCTGCCTGAAACTGAATACTTGCAAGGCATCTTCTTCTTCCTTAGACTTACTCCTTTAGCTTTGTCTCCTAAGGGTACTTTCGTAATTACCCATTTGTACAATGCTTTGATTCTGAATAGACTTTAAGATAGTGGTAATAGTACTTACCACCAAATTGGGTATGGAGTGAGAGGGAATGAGAGAAATTAAGGACGATTCTAAAGGTTTTTGGTTTGATCAACTGGAAGAATATAATTGCCGCAAGTAGAAGGAGAAAGTTATGATTACAGCAGTTTTGAGGAAGAAGATAAGGATATCAGCTTCCAGCAAAGCTTAAACCCAATATTCACATTAAAATAGTGCATAGACTCAAATTAAAGTTCAAATTATAGCTTCCTTTAAATCAGGTACTATGTTAGAAAGCTTTTGGAATTCCACAGAATACTTGGTACTGGACACCACACACAGAATATGTAAAATAAATGTTTGCTGAATGAGTTATACGGTATTCCGTCCTTCAATCTTTTTCCCTATAGTGAGTGTGAAATATATGAACATAGCTTCTCTCAAATTCATTGCTAAATACTATTCATACTCTAAGGGTTTATAGTGATAGAAAATATTTTTAAAACTGGTAATAATTGCCAAACTGATAATATTTATTAGGGATTATCTCTTTAATATGGATTTTTAAAAATACTGTACAATGTGTATATGTAAAGAAAATTCTACATTTTCTTTTAAAAGACATAGATGTAATTCATTTAAGAATACATTGTTATGAATGCACTTAAGCAAGAAAAAAACAGATTTTAAATGTATCCTTAGGTTTTATAACCATCTATTTTACACAGACTTTTCATATTCTTCTCTTTATGAATCAAAATTCACATGCCTTTTAAGTAACTATCAATATATACAAAATAACAAAAAGAGTCATCATACTTAGAATATCTTATTTTCATATCTCATAACAAAATTTTATATTATGCAGTATTTCTTGAATTTCTTTCTCATATTGTTCTATAACACTATGGAAGGAGTTTGCATATAAATTCCAAGTATTTAAAAGTGAAGCTCATATAAGAAATTATATGGAGCATCATTTAATTTTAATAGATGACAATTAAATCTATGATAATTTGCATTTCCAAAACAGTAAGTGTTGTATTATTGAACAGTTTGTAGATATGTTATGATGTATAAACTTAATGTTAAGATATTTATGCATTTGCTACTTTTCATATAACATCTAAAACTAACCAGTCCTTAAAAAAGAAATGAAAGATTTAGTCCTAGAAAGTTTACTGCAATATTGGCCAATAAAGAAAGAGTTAAATTGAACTTTGGATATATGTTAGTCATAACATAATCTCTTGATATATTAGTGGGTCAATAGTTCAGCCAAGAAAGGGACTCTAACTTGAGCGGACACTAATTAAAAGAATCAATTCTTATCCTACTACATATGTCCAATCATATTAACACATTTCTAGATTTCTTACTCAGTGGACTAGTCAAGATTAAAGGATTTGCTAATATGAAGGAACAGAGTATGCTTCCAAACTGACTGAGCAGATTTATGAACAAATTAGTTCATTTAAAATTGACAGTGAAAGATTGATTTTGCACAGAATGAGTTACCTAAGGTATTCATCATTTCCTCTGCCTCTGCACACAAGACAGAGATCCGTTTCCTTCACTTTCTGATTGTAATAGGGCTGCTTACTGAGCACCTTTATTTTGCAGTCCTGATTGCAGCCTGTCATTCCTTTTAATTCAGACATATTTTAGCCTCTTAGGCAGACCTTCAAAAATAACTTCCTTAAAAGCCTCAGAAAAATGACTCATTACACGTTGCTCAATTCAACCATGCTATAAATTATAATACAGGGAAAAGTTCTAATTGCACAAAAGATCCAATTACTCATAGGCTACGTGACTCCTTACTCAAAAGCAAGTACAAGCAGGAAATGAAGATACAAAAACAATTTCCAAAGTTGAAGGTCAATACTCTACAACTCTAACAAAACCTAAGATGTTTGACATTTCGTATACATTAGTGTATATTGGTATGTATTTAGTAGATAAATATTTTAAGTAAAGGGTTAGAAATTATATACAAAAAATGGAATTAAATGCTGAAATAATTGAGGATTTTGTTTTTTAAGTGTAAGAAAATAAAAGCGAAACTTTGTGGAAGAGGAAAAAGAGTATGACAACACAAACACATTTAGAAAACCATAAGAATGGTGGCTCATCCCTGTAATCCCAGCACTTTTGAAGGCCCAGGCAGGTGGATCACCTGAGGTCAGGAGTTTGAGACCAGCCTGGCCAAAATGGCAACACCTGGTCTCTACTGAAAATACAAAATACTTGGCTGGGGTGGTGGCAGCCGCCTGTAATCCCAGTTCCTTGGGAGGCTGTCAAGGGAATCGCTTGAACCCGGGAGGCTGAAGCTGCAGTGAGCCAAGACTGGCAGTCCAGCCTGGGTGGCAGAGTAAAACTGTCTCAAAAAAAGAGAAAACAGTAAGGACCAAATTAAAACAAAATTCAAGGAAAAGTATATGCACTTATGTTATTTTTCTGCAAAGACATAGACTTTAGATATCGAAAATATAAATTATGATAAAGTGACATATTTAGAAAATGGAATTTTCAGGACTTGTTAATCAGTCAAACTTGAGATAGTGGGAGAGAGGAGGAGAGGTCTAAATTAAATATTGTGTGGTGAAAGAGTTGAGAAACTTGATCCATGACAGTGTCTGTTTATTCAAATATGGTGGAAAAATTAGAGCAGAAACGATTTCAATTTTGAGTCTCTGTAATATCTGTGGGAAATCAAATGGAGATATATACAAGTGATCTCAATAGATCTGTGTTCATAAGTTATAAGCAAATGTAATATTAGCTTATTTTGCTGATAAAAATTAAGCTCAGAAGCAAGGTAAAATTTTCTGCAAGGTATTACAGTTAAAAAATACTGGTAGTGGATTATCTAACTTTAGATCAAGTATTTATTTTTACATAATAAGGGATGTGTGTGTGTGAGTCTCGTGTGTGTGTGTGTGTGTGTGTGTGTGTGTGTGTAAGGGAGAGAGAGAGAGAAAGAGAGAGAGAGAGAATCTGTGTGTTTAAAACAATTTCTATTTCAAGTAAAAAAATCCAAAGGATTCCCCAGTGTTTCTGTGTAATCTTGGGGGAATCTCATGTTCACTTTTGGTTCTAAGTTGCTATTTCCACGGAATTATCAGTTTAGCTGTATTTTAAGGCTCATGTACTCTTTGATTTGCTCCATTTCTGGCTAAACAAGAAATTTAGACATGACTACCAAGTCAATACACCTATATATATCAGTACCCATACATTTTGTTTTTCCTCCTGTCATAATAACTAAGGTTTTTTGTTCCAAGGTCAACTCTACCACTTGTAAACTAAAACCTCTCCCCTTATAAAGAACCACACTACTTTCGTTGTCTTTTCTTTTTCCAAAATCATTTCCTCACCATTAGACTGTTTTTAAATTAGCATAAAAATCAAGAATTAAGAACAATTATCCCTTTATTAATTGCCATCAAAAATAATTTCTAATAATGCCCATCCAAAAAAAAAAAAGGAACCAAAGCTCTCATTCACCTTCAGATTGCTTATTGTTGCTTGAACTCACTTCATTTAAGTTTTTGTCTTCACTGCATCCAAATTGCTCTTGTCAAGACCTTTAAAGACTTCTATATGCTAAATCTAATAGCCAATGTTCAGTGCTATCTGACCTGTTTGCAGTATTTGGCACAGTTGATAACTTACTCTTTCTTGAAATTCTTCCTTTCCTTGGCTTATTGGGCCCCACTCTCCTGTTTCTCCTCCTCCAGAGTTGACTGATTTCTCCATTTCACTTATTTCTACTCATTTTCCCAACTCCTAAATGTCGCAGTGTTCCAGGGCACTATCCCCAGAACTCTTTGTCTGTACCCAGCCTCTTGCAGATCTCATGCCTCATACCTTTAAATCCCATCCATATGCTAATGTTTCCCAAATGTTTCTCAGGAACTAAGACACCATTTTTTTTTTTTTTCCAAACTCCAGGTTTCTTTTTTCGCCCCAAATGCCTACTCTTATCTAGATTTGTTGACTAAGAGGCACCTCAAATACAATATGCCAAATTAAGCTTTTGGTATTCAAGCTTCCAAAACTGCCTCCTCTCTGACTTTTTATGTACATAAATGACACTTACATTTTCCCAAAACTCAAGCCTTAGTGCTTTTCTTAACTTTTTCTTTTTTTTTCTTTTTTTAATATCACACTATCAATAAATCCTATTGACTATTTTTTTTTAAGTTTAAGTTACATCACCCCTAGCTCCCTATCCTGTCAAAGCTGCATTATCACTCACCAGATGTTGGTGTAACCTCTGAACTGATCTCACTACTTCCATTCTTGCCCCCAAAAATATTCTTCACCTTGTAGTCAGAATGGCTTTGTAAAACAAATTAGATCATACTACTAATCGCTCAAAAATCCCTCAGTGCCTTCTGTTGTCACTCAGAGTAAAATCTAAAGTTTTTAACTATGAAATATGAGACCTTAAGTGATTTGGCTTTCTGTAAGTCTCCTGACTTCATCAGTTGACCCTCCTTCTTGTTTACCCCCTTTTTAACGCTGTCTTCTTTCCTAGAATTGAAACTTTGTAAGCATTTTTCATTTGAGGGCCTTTGCTTTTGCTATTCACTTAATGGGAATACTTTTTGTCCATTAAACCTCATGATTCCTTATTTATTTCAGGCACTGCTCAGATGTTACCTTTATTCAATTGAATACAAATCTGGCTACTGTTAAAAAAAGATCAAAATAATAACGAATTAAACAAGATGAAAGTTTATTTCTCTTTGACATATGAATCTGAGAGTATTGGTGGTCCAAGGGTGTTGTTGCTGCTCCGTAGTATCAAAGACTCAGACATCTTCAATCATGTTGCTTAGCCGTCCTCAAAACGCACCTTCCATCATGAGGTCTGGCAGCTACTACATCTCCCATCACGATGTTCACCTTCTGGACACTGGGAAAGAAGACAAGGCAAGGAGAAAAGTACTCAGTTGCACATGTCACTTCTACTTACATCCTACTGGCTACAGCTTGATCACCAACTCTAAGGAACACAGGGAAATGTAATCTAGGCTGTGTGGCAATGTGGCCAGCTAAAACTCAAAATGTCTTACGACTAAAGGAAAATGAAAACATGGTTATTGAGAGACAATTAGCAGCTTTTGTCTAAGAAAATGTGTATCACACCTTACTCTACAATTGTCTTTAATCTCCTTTATTTTTGCTTGTAGGAAGTATAATTACTTACATATCATGCTTATTTGCTGATTTTTTTTCTGGCTCCCAATAGTTTAATGTAAAATTCTCTAGGGCAAGAATTTTATCTATTTTAATCATGAGATCCCTATAGATCTATGAACTCAATCAGTGTATTTTGAATGAAGAAGAACTCTCTGAATATCCCTGAACTCACTATTCTGTCTCATCCCCATGGATTTTCACAAACTGCTTGCTCTTCTCTATTTCCTTTGAGTCACATAACCCCAGTGTCTATTTAAGGTTCAGTTTCAGGCATTAGCTCATTTGTGATAACTTTGTGAATCTTTTAGGTGTCTGTTCTGCACCACCCAAACCCTGCATTCCAGTCCTCCTTCCGATATCTGTCTCCATTATTATATTACGAACTCCTTGAAGATAAGAAGCCACGTCTTATCTTTGTATCACAGGCTCTCCATTAGTCAGTACTCTGACTACATTTGATAAAAACTTTCAAACTATTTAAGTAAAAAAAGATTTTAAAGCCAGTTGAGCATTGAGGTGGGTTTCTCTCATATAACTCCAAGAGCAATAAGACCTCATGTTCCCTCACCTTGATCATTTCCAGTGGAAAAAAAGGAGTTCCTTCTGGTAGCCCTCATGAAAGAGCTGTTTTTTCTATCCTTTCTGAGAGATACTTGGTCATTTTCTTTGTAAGCTCTGAGTCCTCTTTAAACCCGGTATTTAATAATGATTTTCTTCTCTTTTGGTTAGAAGGTGGGAGGAGAATGGAACTCTCAAGAAAGTCACCGCAAGATCTGTGGATATTTTTCTGAAAAAAAAAATCAATTCATAAGCTTACAGTAAACCAAACCTGTATTTCTTATCTGAAACATTCAGATAATAATTGCCTCAATTTGCTGCTTAACGTTGGTCAGAAAGGTTAGAGAAGGTCCTTATTCATTAAACCCATATCAAATTAGGTAATGAAATTTTGATTAAATGTAACCCCTGCCAGTCATCTTTTTCTTGTCATTATAAAGGGAGTTGAATGTCCTTCTTCCTTTGAAGTAAAAGCCCAGGCTGCCCGCCAAAAAGTGTGCATGTGTGTTGAAAATGAGTAGCCAGTCCTGCTTAGAAATATTAAAAAATTAGAAGCTTCACAAGCAGCACACTGAAACTAGAGTACAATATCTTAATGTTGTGTGACATTATTTTGACTAGGCAATGTCATAATAGTGATGTTCTAAAATCTCTGCCTCCTTGCTTATTTTTGAAGAGATAAAAATCAGATCTAGTTTGGGAAAGTCCTCATCCCCTGACTTTGCAAAGAACCTCTTACAGCTTCTCACGACTCTTGATCATGTCACCCCTCTCTCGCTGGATCAGATGGGTTTAGAACTCACCTAGAAGCCAGTCACTGTGGCCTGGAGGAGAGATATGCTCATTGGATAAACCAATTAAGGTCCACTCAAGAAGAACAGGTGAGTCAGTCTTAACCAGAGTGTTGGTGGATGGGGAGGAAAGTGGAGTGGATTCCCCAAGAGACAATTAGATTGCTTTGAACCAGGAAAAGGGCAAGTATACTCCAAATGTAATACTACAAGTGTTCATTGCAGATTTCATTGAGAGTTTAATAAATAGATGTGTAGTACAATTTTATGTGTGTAAGAAACCGTATTTATAGAGACATAAATATATATGCAAAACAGAAGGTCTTCAAGTTAGGCAGCATAAGGCAATGCTAGCAGTGCTAGCATTATGCATAGTGGGAAGGCAGTACAAATGTAGAGTGTAAAGGGATTCCACTAAGAAGAGATGGTTCACATTTAACTTTACATATACATGTACTGCTTGAATTTTGTAATAAGTATGTAGTCATAAGTAACATGTTACTAAAAACCATCTTTAATTGGAAAACAATACTCATTCCTTATGACAAAAAGTTTATAGCTTTATTTAATGAACAGCCATCTAGAACATGGCAAGCAATATTGGCAGGATGTCATTGTATTTATACTTTACTCTACTATTGTTAAAAAAAACTCTTCACATATACTACCAGTTTGAGTCATATTTACTTTTGTAATAAGTCAGATACACCCTATTTTATTAGATAAGCATGTTTCTTCTGGAATTTAGCCTTTAGAAAACAAAAAGAAAGAAAAATATGCATCTACCTATTTTTTAATACAATACAAACATTTACATTTTGCTTCCGGAAGTTATATTTACTTACTTATTTTCACATGAGAAAGTCATTCATCATGTTTTTGTCTGAATGCTTCTGCCTCCCCAAAATTCATGTGTTGTAACCCAATCCCCAATGTCATGGGGCCTTTGGAAAGCCATTAAGTAATAAGGTCACTGGGTTGTAGTGGGATTAGCGCCCTTATAAGAGGCCCTCAAGAACCGCTTTGCCTTTTTCTCCACGTGAGAACACAAGAGGGCAACATGCATAGACCAGGAAATGGGCTCTCGCCAGACACCGAGTCTGCCAGTGCCTTGATCTTGGATCTCCCAGTTTTCGGAACTGTGAGGAATAAGTTTCTGTTATTTATAAGCAACCTAGTCTATGGTAACAGTCCAAAAGGACTAAGACAGGTCATAGTTGTCAGATATTCACACATATTAATTAAGCTTAGAGCTTACCAAGGCATTAGAAGTATTATACTTGTACTATCTTCATTGCAATGTATCTTACAGAAATAATTCAATGAACCTCCATGACCCACTCTTTTTGCTTACTGGCAACAAAAATGTGATGTGAATGTGTGCATGTGTATAATGACAAAAATTACTAAATACATATAAGCATGTATGTATTCATTTGTAAAAATTTTATTGTGTATCTGCTATATATCATCCACTGTTCAGGAAATATAAATGCAGAGTTGAATGACACAGTCATTACCCTGAGAATTACAAAGACTACTGGAAATCACTAATAAATAAACAATTTCTTTTTATTGTGGTGCATTAATGAGGAACAGGGGAAAACTGAGAGTCGCAGAGTCAGCCTTAAGTAGTGTGAGGGATGGGAGGAGATCTTTGTAAGCCTTCACCAGAGAAGCGGCTGCTTGGCAGACAATGGGGTGAGAGTATGTTTTAGGCTGAGGGAACAGTAAGCACAATAAATGGAGTTGTAAGCAGCAGAGTAGAACAGGGAGCCTGCAAAGAATCCAATACTGCTCATTAATGAAGTGGAAGGGAGGAGTTATCACCAAGTAGGTAAGAGCCACAATTTACTATGCTATTGTAAACATTTCTATAGGTAATGCAGTGATATTAAATACGGGAAAGACATGACCAAATATATGCTTAGGGAGAAACATTTTGGTTTAGAAGCTATATGAAAGTGAATTAACGAAGATAAGGACTAAAGGAAGAACCAGTTAAGAACACTATTAATCCAGATGACAGATGATGGCTTGAAGTAAGTGATTCTGGAAGCATGGATGAAGGAGATTTCAGGATCAATTTACATGTGGGATTATGATACAGAAGGAATTAAGGATGGGCTTCAGAGAGTATGTAAACTTTCCCCCAGATAGGTAAATGTATTTGATTATGCATATTTTCTGGGGAAATAACATTGATTTTATCAGATTCCCAAATGGGTTCATAACTGAAACAAGTTTGAAATTATTGTATTGTGCTATTTTCATAATCACACTTTACTTAAAGACATATCTTTTGACAATTTTTATTTGGGTAAGGTTGCCAGATATAACTATTAATAATAAAAAGACAGAATGGGGTGCAGGACTTAGCAAATAAAAATGTAAATTTAGGCCAGGCCCAGGGACTCACGCCTGTAATCCCAACACTTTGGGACGTTGAGGCAGGTGGATCACCTGAGATCAGGAGTTTGAGACCTGCCTGGTAATAAAAATAGAAAAATTAGCCAGGCATGGTGGCACATACCAGTAGTCCCAGCTACTCGGAAGGCTGAGGAAGAAGAATTGCTGGAACCTGAGAGATGGAGGTTGCAGTGAGCTACGACCGCGCCACTGCACTGCAGCCTGGGTGGCAGAGTGAGACTCCGTATTAAAAAAAAAAAATTATACTTAACTGAGCATCCTCTGCATTTGCATCTCTACTTAAAGACATTCAAGCTGTGAAGTGATGTTTCTCTGGAATGATATACATTATCTGGGTATAAATTTTCTTCCATTTACATTTCATTAATTAATTAGCTCACCCAATAAATATTGATTGGTTGCTTAATCTGTACACTGAGTACACATTTGTTGGATAACAGATATATATGCCCCTTTTCCTGAGGCACTAACAATGTATTGGGTAATATTTTTTTTAACTAGATTAAGAGTTCATAAATTACTATGGATAGTGATTACCATGTGACAAGCAGTGGATATCAATAGAGAACAACGTGACTTTTTACTAGGTTGGGACGAAAGCCAAGCCAGTGAAGGGCCAGAAGGAACAGGTTTCAAGGAGAGAAAAGAGTTTGATGGAAAGACTGGAAGTGGGAAAGAATTGCTGAGTTGAAAGAATAAAAGAAAGGAAAGAAAGAAAAAAGAAAGAGAGAGAGGGAGGGAGGAAGGAAGAAAGAGAAGAAAGAGAGAAGGAAGGGAGGGAGGGAGGAATGGTGAGTGGCCAGGTGCGGTGACTCACACCTGCAATCCCAGCACTTTGGGAGGCTGAGGTGGGTGAATCATGAGGTCAGGAGTTCAAGACTAGCCTGGCTAACATGGTGAAACTTTGTCTCTACTGACTGAATGTTTTTGTTCCCCCAAATTTATATGTTGGAGCCCTAATGCCAAATATGATAGTATTTGGAGATAGGGTCTATGAGAGGTAATTATGTTGTGAGGATGGAGCTCTCATGACAGAATTAATGCCCTTATTAGAAGTGACAGGAAATAACTTATTTTTTCTCTCTCTCTTCTCTCCTCCAGGTGAGGCTACAATGACAAAGCAGCCATCTACTCACCAGGAAGGGGCACTCACCAGAAATCAGAGCTCCCAGCACCTTCATCTTGGACATTCCAGCCTCCAGAACTGTGAAAAATAAATGTTTGTTGTTTAAGCCACCCAGGCTATTTTAATTTGTTATAGCAGCCTAATATGGGTTGGCTGTGTCCCCAGCCAAATCTCACCTTGAATTGTAATAATCTCCATGTGTCATTGGAAGGACCCAATGGGTGGTAATTGAATCATGGGATGGGTTTTCCCATGGTGTTCTCATGACAGTGAATAAGTCTCATGAGATCTGATGGCTTTATAAAGGGCAGTTGCCCTGCACACACGCTCTTGCAGGCCACCACGTAAAATGTGCCTTTGTTCCTTCTTTACCTCCCACCATGATTGTGAGACCTCCCCAGCCATGTGGAACTGTGAATTCATTAAACCACTTTTTCTTTATAAATTACCGACTCTCGGCTATTTCTTCAGAGCAGTATGAAAATGGACTAACACACAGCCCAAACTAACTAGGTCAGCTCCTCTACAAGTTGCAATCTTATAAAGGCAGCCCTGTGGTGGGGGACATGAAGATGGAGAAGTGGGTAGGGACATGAGCATGCAATTTATGGTGGTGTCTGGATTTCATTCAGTGTCTGTAATTTTCCCATATTTCTCCTGGCCTCTGGCTTCTTTTTCTCCTGTTTGGAAAACCTATATATAATATATAGTTAATGTGTCTTGTGTTAAACAGATTCAATTTATTCTAATATCATTTATTCCTTCCAACTACAAATCAAGCCTTGGACTTAAAGTAGGAACAATCAAAAATCAAATTTTCCTTTATCTCTATTTATTTCTGGATCTATCACAAATAATAATAACAACAATTACATATTCAGCATTAAAAAATCAGGAATGATGCCAAGTATTTTATGTAGTAGTTTGCAATTAAAAGAAATATTGAGAAGCAGACACCATAAGTCTAGAAGAGCTATCTTTCACAGTTGAATTTTGCCATTTCACAGGATTGTTGGCTCTGGAGTGATGCCCTAGTAATCTGTTTTCTGACACCCATTAATGCATTTCCTCACTTCCTTGATTGAAGTACTGCATACACTGATCATTGATTTGTAAAGTTGGGTGTGAATGCCCAATGAATTTTAAAAAGAAACTTTTAACACTTCGTTCTGTTCTAGCTGTACTTCACTTCTCCGTGCAGTCCATGGTGTCACTTGCTGCCTGTGTCCGTCTTCAACAGACGTGGGCAAAAGAAAGAAGAGAGTAGGAGCAGGAAAAAAAGATACCGAGGTAAATTTGTAGACAAAGTGCACTGATGCTTCTAGTATCATCTTGTACATTATCATTAAGTAAAACCCTGAAAATCTTCTTACTGGTACTTTTGCTTGCTTTTTATTTTGTTCTTATAAAAGATTTCATTTTTTATAGAATAGAATAAAATCTTTTGTAAGAACAAAATTTTAAAAAAGCAAATAAATTTTTAAAAGATGCAATTCATGACACCAGTGAATTTCATTATAATTCTGTATGGTCTTTTCTTTCCTGCATTTGGAGAAGCTGGCTGTCATTAAGGGCTCATGAGACACCTGTATACTGTTCACAGGTTCCGCTATATGATTGTAGCTCACAGCTTTTGGCAAGGATGTGAATGCAATGGCTTAGAAACTGGCATCAGCTGAGAATAGTAACAAAATATTATACATTGGCATTTTCTTCTGATACTTCCTGCATGTAAAGAGAAAAAGAACCTCCTTTTTTCTAAAAAATAATTTTAAATATTTCCTGTAGAACATATTTCTAAAACTTGCATTTTTATCACACTTTCTTTTTAAAGATGATCTATCAATATACCTTATATTATAAAAGTTTTTGTTCAAAGGGCAAGTATTACCAAGCCAACATAACAAAACAGACATTATAGTTTCTCTTTGGTGACTTATGAAACGTTCCAGTAATACCAAGGAAAAGTTTAATCCTAAAGGGAGAGATTAATTAAAATATTTTTTAATTAATTAAACTTTTGGGGGCATCTACCACATAGCAGGGACTGTACTATGTACTAAAGTCTACAGACACACCTATATGCAATATAAAGTCCTGTTGATGTAAACAAAACATGGTCGCATTAGTTTCTTTGCATGGGGTTAAATAAACTGAGATACTACCACGATTGTCTTCCCAGCATACTCCCTCCATTGGAGCTAACTTGCTTTACTTAACATACATTTCTCCTCTGGGTCAAAGCCCTAGATTCATGACAACCTGACATTTTTCCTTCTCTGTCTTCTTTCCATTCTTCCAAAGTAGACTAGTTCTCAAGGTGTGCTAAATCATAGTCTTCTACAGTCCAGTAGCAGCAAGCCTAACAAGAACCTTTTCTATACCAAATATTTCAGGAGGTCACTGCTAAGCTTTTAATATGCTAAAGGAGGAGAATAAGAAATTTGAAAAATCCTTTCTCCAGGCAATAGCCTGGTTTATGAAGCTATTGTCTCCATACATAATCTTATTTTGCATTTGTTCTTTCTGTTTAAATGCCTTCTGTAACATGTCTAATCTCTACACATACATGCTGTCTGGCAGATGGATGCATACTGACTAGAGTGATGGCATGAATTTAGAAAAAGTAAAAGAGAAAATAATAGTTTATAATTTTCAAGTGCTCCTCCTTCTAGTAGTATAGTCAATATTCACTACATAGGAATTCACCTTGTTTATCCTCAACTTATTTTTCCTGTTTATTTCTTCATCTTCTCCCAAGTCTACCTTTTTTGCTAAAATTGCTAACAGAATACAAATACACACACACACACACACAAACTAAACACTATACCTCCTTCAAATTCATGCACATGCTCACACTTGACAATTCTACTATAATGGTAAAATGGCAGCACTAAGGCAGTATGGAAAAAGATGACAGACAAACTGAAACTGAATTACAGGCTCGTCAAAATGAAATTGTATTGTTAGTAATAATATTAGTTGTATTGATATTTATAACACATAAAATGTATTAAATAATCAAAACTATACAGACCCAAATTGATACAAATTGACTAAAAAATTATCATAATTCATATGGAAAGTGCCTGCATGTGCTACCTTCTGGATTGCCATGAAAAGATCAGTCTCAGTTTTGTAAGCTTTCCTATTAATATATTTGAAAACATTGCACTTGCCAAAATAAGTAGTTTTATTTTGAAAGATTTTCATTTCCTTCAGCTTTTCTTCCATAATTACATTATTTTTATGGTTTGTGATGTTAACTACTTCTAGTCCATGATAGGGCAATAGTCTATCTCCCATCATGTGGTTTAATTTGTTAAATATTCTATTAATTATGATTTATGTTTAATCAAACAGAATACTTCAGTTAATTGACAGTTGAAATGAGAAGGGTTTAGTCTGCAGTGACATGTCAATGCCAGTGAAGGATATAGAATAAATATCAAAACATTTCAAAGGAAAATTCAAGAGTATTTAATGACTAACTGGTCGTGGAGAGAAAATACAACATAAATTAAAAATTTTGCTGATGTTTTGAACCATGATTCAAATAGGAGAAAACATAGGATAATTGCAGGAAATGGGAGCAGGTATTTTGTTTCAAGACTCCTAGCAAATTTCAGGTTAGGTGCTGGGTATCTTGATTTGAAGACTGGGAAATGAACATATCTTCTGTCGTTACCTAAAATTCAAGGTGACCTTTAAGTAATAAAATGTATTTACCTGCATTACTTGTGGGATTGCTCTCATTATTTTACTCCCAAATTAAAATTTTCCCTGTGTCTCAAGGGAAAGTAATATTCACCTCTCCATTTACTTTACAGAGGGAAAAATTATAAGGCTCTGTGAAAGGAAATGTCTTTTGTTTATTCCAATATAATTAAGACCAATGGTAGCTTTAATCTCAGAAATGAACAGAATTTGAGGTAAATCTTGAAGTGAAAATGTAAGGAGACTGACATAGGCCATGAAATGAGGCTAAAATGCATAAGCAAATTTTAGATTCTAGATGTTTTAAAAATTACACAGTTGATATATGTGCCTTTGTTGGCTTCCTTTAGAAGGGGAAGAAGGAGATTATCACTTCAGGAAATTCAAAACTCTTCCCCAACTAATATTGCCCTCTGCTAACCTTATGACCTGGTTACCTAAGGCCAATTTAACACATCATTAGAAATGTAACCAACATGTCACTTAAATAGGCTCATCATTTGGCCTGAGGATGACAGGTTCTTTCTTCTTCTATATACGCATTCTAGCAGCCACTAGTTTCCTGTAATTTCTGTAAGAAATATAAATATGCAAGTAATTATTTTCAAGTGTCTATGCCCTACTAATAAGATGATGCCTTTTCCAGATGGGATGGCAGTGTAATTTTAAAAATGTTGAGAGTATAGAGAATGTCCATGTCATGGCCAATTTTTTTTCTTTGAGACAGAGTCTCACTCTGTCACCTAGGCTAGAGTGCAGTGGCATAATCTCAGCTCACTAAAATCTCAACTTCCCGGGTTCAATCAATTCTCCTGCCTCAGCCTCTCAAGTAGCTGGAACTACACGCATGTGCCACCACGCCTGGTTAATTTTTTGTATTTTTAGTAGAGACAAGGTTTCACTGTGTTAGTCAGGATGGTCTCGATCTCCTGACCTCGTGATCTGCCCGCCTCGGCCTCCCAAAGTGCTGGAATGACAGACATGAGCCACCGTGCCCTGCCGTCATGGGGAATTTAAGGAAAGAACTGGTGCTATAATCCCCAGGAAAAGGCTGGATATCAACCACTGAAGGGATTAACTATCTGTAGGGCTGGAAAGCAAGTTCTTAGAAGAAGAGGCATCTCCTATTTTCTGTTCTTTCACTTTTTAATGGCCAAAACAAGAATAATACAGGAAGCCTAATGTGTGCTAGAATCATGTTACTCTACTTGGTAAAAAGTTCATCACCTCAAAAGAAGACCTTGTTGAGGCTTTTCCTTAGCCTCTCAAACACTCAATTGTCCCATTGCTGCAGCTGATTCCTAAATTACACTGGGATGAGGAGACAATACAAGTATCCGAATAATGAGAAACACACTATTATAATAGATTGTTTTGAGAATGTGGTTAGGATTCAAAAGAATATGCTGGCACAGATTTATTTCTCAATCCTTTAGAAATAAACATACCTCATGCTGGGGTTCTACTCTATACATATTTGTAACCAAGTTGCCCTTTCCGGCTGCTATTAATTATTGCTTTTTTGATTTGCTAGTAAACACTCTCTAGAATATTTTCGTACCACATATAGGTACAGCTTTTTAAAAAATAGAATGCGTTGGTTGTTTTATATCAAATAGGTAATGTATGTTTATTGCTAAAAACTGTAAGTAGATAACGAAGCTGAAGAACACCTAAACCTGTGAAATATTTTTTATGCTCATTATCTAATTTTATCCCCACAATAACCTTATGATTAAGGCAAGAAATGGCATATTGTCTATTTAACTATTACAGAAAATGAGAATGAAGTGAGTTGCCTTTAGTACATGACTGCCTCTGGGTCCCATCTAATTCCTAGGCCAAAAAATCTGTCTGTATCCTACTGTCACCCACAAATAGTATAAAAGAAATAGGCATCCCCTGGGGCTTAGAGCCAAACCCAGGAAGGGAAACACACTCATGTGACCCATCTTGAGCTAGGCAAGGCCAGCCTGCCCTGTATGTGAAGCCTCCCCAGCTGCATCTTCACTGACAGATTTCTCAGCAGTTTTGAAAGCTGCTTGGGAAACTGCTCCAGTCAGTGAACGTGGAGGCTGACAGCTCTGGCTGAGTGATTCTCAGCCCTAATTACAAATAAACCTCTGATTTTAGGAAGGGTTTGGAGGGACAATGTTTAGTCCCTGCACATCTAAAGAGACTGTATTATGTTGTGGGCCTGATAATGAATCAGGAGAGCACTCAGATTAGCATAACTCATTCATTTATCAGATAAAAGGTGTGCTCCACTCCGCATTACAGTCAAGGCCTCAGTGTCTCCATTTTCGTGTATGAATACACCCACCCTCCATTTGCCTTCTGTCCGGAGACACTCTAGGCAAATCTGCTTTAATAAATGGATTTGTAAAGTGCTTTGTAACTCTTACGTGGTTGATTATCCATGTAAAATGTTTTTTGAAATAACAAACAGCTAATAGCAAATGAGAATATGTGATACTACTTGATGTCTATGTGAGTAACAAATTTTAAATAGACTGTTTCCCCACTGATTGAATTCTTGTCTTTAAAGCCTATATTTAAAGTTAAAATATTTATAACATATGGTTTAGAGGGAATTAGCTCTCTGTGGTCCTGAAATATACTGAAAACATCATTATTTTTCTGTAAAACAAATTCATGAGTGGAAAACATTTATATTAAACATTCTTAGTGGTAAATAATATGAAAGAGAATGGCTGTATACAGAACAGTGGGAAAAAGAAACAAATGCAGTAAATAAAGAAAAGCATTTCGTAAGCTGGACCAGGGGCATGTGGAATACATTAATGAAAACAACTTAGGTAACATATACCACATGTTCATGAGCCAATATGTTAATCAGGATCTTAAGAGCGTTTGGCCAAAAAGGCACTACAGATGGGTATGGACTTTGTAGAGCTGGAGAAGCATAGGACAGATATGGTATATTTGTTAAACAGGACTAGTCAATGAAGCTATGGAATCTCCTCTAAAATCATGTTTCCAACGAATAAAAAAACACCATGGATGAGCTTTTGCTTAATTTATTTTCTAATATCACAAAGTAATAGCATACACTAGTTTTCAAGGGAAAAATATGTCATGATTAATTTTTCATTTACACAATCATTTATTCACATATATTCACTATTCTCCCACCTCTACTCCCAGAAGAAATACACATATATATACATACATACATGCAGTTTTGCCCTAAATGCCATTTACAAGCAGACTTCTTCTGAGATATTTGCTTTCTTTGTGGACAATCACTAATGATAACATAGCTGACCACATACCTCACTCCCAATTGCACTTGTGACCAACTTTTAAATTGTCTGCCTATAGAATATTATCAAGAAAAATAAGGACAGCAAAATGTCTGAAGATGGCTGATGATTTCCTTGTACTAGGAAAGGACATAAATAAAAAAGAAAATTCCTAAAACAAATTAGTTAGTTGTAAGGCCAGAGTGTAATCATAGATTAGGAATTTTTTAACAACTAGGGAACCAGCACATTAAAATAATCATATTGAGAGTTTTTTGGTCACATTAAGAATAAGAAATCTTGGCCAGGCACGGTGGCCTATACCTATAATCCCAACACTTTGGGATGCCAAAGAGAATGATTGCTTGAGGCCAGGAGTTTGAGATTAACCTGGGCAATATAGAGAGATCCCATTTGTACAAAAAGGTTTAAAAACTTAGCTGAGTACGGTGGGGCACACCTCTAGTCCCAGCTACTTGAGAAGCTGAGGTGGGAGAATTACTTGAGCCCAAGATCTAGAGGTTGCAGTGAGCTATGATTGCACCAGTGCACTCTAGCCTGGGAAATAGAGCAAGACCCTATCTTGAAAGAAAGAAAAGAAAAGAGAAGAGAAAAAGAAAAGAAGAAAATGAAAAAAGAAGAAAGAAGGAAAGAAAAGGAAGAAATGAAAGGAAAAAAAGGAAGAAAGAAAGAAAAATGAAAAAGAAAGAAGAGAGAAAGAAAGAAGAAAGAAAGAAAGAAAAGAAAAGAAAGAAAAAGAAAGAAAGAAAGAAAGGAAAGAAAGAAAGAAAAAGAAAGAAGAAAGAAAGAAAGAAAGAAAGAAAGAAAGAAAGAAAGAAAGAAAGAAAGAAAGAAAGAAAGAGAGAGAGAGAGAAAGAAAGAAAGGAGGGAGGGAGGGAGGGAGGAAGGAAGGTCAATGAACTGTCCTGGTATTAAGGGATAATTCAACAATGTAGAACATACAATTATTATTTAGAAAAAGCATTGTTCATCTTGTAGCTTAGGATGTTCTGGTCCATTTTCTGGGAGATACTGAATTTTGATGAGCACTATTCTACATACAAAGCTTATGTCTATCAAATTCCCAAAAATACTCTTAAATGATTATATTCACTGTAGGAAGGGAGATGGAGAAATAGGAAATCATATATTGCTGGAGAAAGGGCAAAATGGTAAAAGTTTTATGAAGGATATTTTTGAAAATATTTTAAATGACTCTGATTTTTTAATGTTTTTGATACAAAAGTTCTATTTGTAGAACTTATTCTAGACAGCAATTGTAGTACTGCTTATAATCAGAAAGAAAAAGAAAGGAAGGAAGGAAGAAAGAAAAGGAAAGAAGAAAAGGAGGGAGGGAGGAAGGAAGGCGGGGAGGGAGGGAGGAAAATGAAGAGAAATAAAGAGAAGAAATGAAAGAAAAAAATAAAAGCTTAAACACTCCAAATCAGGGAATTTATTTTGTATCAAGAAAAAATCCGTAAAAGTTATTATTTTATATAAAACTTAATCTTTTTGCTGAGTTGGTCCCATTGTTGCATCACACAATTGGGTATCTGCCAAGCGATCACCTCTCTGATTTAGGGAGGCTTTAGACAGTTCCTCCTAGCTTGCCTGGCTGCAGAACGTCTCTATCAAATCTCACCACCCAGTGCCCTTACCTCTTCAGACCAGTACCTATCCTGGCCCGACCCTCACTGCCAAACCCACAATGACCAACTCCATTTTCAATGCACTGATGTTTGGGTCCAGAGAAAACATCTACCAACTCTTCAGTGTTCTGCCTGCTTTCTTTTCAGTGTCTCAGTGTACACATCTTATCTCCTAGGAGGAGTTTTCCAGCGTTCACTCAAGAGAACATCCCAGAGGTGCTCTTTTCCTTAAAACACAAGAACAGGAACAATGCTCTTGAAGATTTGGCAGGGAGTAACCTAGGGAAACAAAAAGACAAGAAGAATGATTTACAGCATAAAGATAGGCATTGTGTAGGAAGAGCTCATTTCAATGACTGTGAGATCCTATCCAATAATACAACCATATCTTCGAGTGAGTTTAAGCCTTTTGGACTGCCTTCTGGATGGCTCTGACAATTTCCCCACCAATAACTGATATGCCAAGACTATAGGAGGAGGCACATATGATCTACAAAACTCTTTTCAACAATCAAAAATTGCTTTGGGAATAAAACCCCTCAATATGAAAAAACATACCAGTGTGTACTTACTTCAGCAGAGACAAATAATTTGATATCAATAAATTTTATCCTCGTACTACTTTATTACCTTTAAAAACTAGGTTGATT